AATACCGAGGGATAAACCACTATCGTATTACATTAGGGTTATCTCGAGTAGCGACATATGACATAAAAACGACACGTTTGCATTTAAATTGGTTCTAAAAACAGTTTATTCTTAATATGTTCATAACGATACAAGAAGTTATCTTCAGAATAAAAGCTTTAAAAATTATTTAAAAATGAAGTACTTTTGAACTATCTCAAAGTTGAAATAACCCAATGTAGTATGCTAAACGCATACCGCTGGAAATTAGAATAGATGGAAGTCAGATTGGAGGTATCAATCAAGGCGACTAGTGCCTGCGTGCCAAAGCCTATAACTGAAGTGGAGGATCATAACACCACAAAATAGCGCGTAACTTATGCAAAAGTTTGCAATTTTGAAAAATTGCAGCACAATTACCCTTACACTCATCTAATGCTCTACTGTTTCCGAATTTTCTTAAGTATTTTTGCAAACTTATGATTAATGCCACTTTAAGTGGCAGAAGCATTGCTTGTCTTCTCTTCCTCAGTCTTTACACCCGTAGAACGCTAAGACTGGGTTTATTTCAACATATTTATCGCTTAGCGTAAATGGGGATGGATATAATTTAAGGGAGACCTAGACACAGTGTTGACTGCCCCTCAAACATAGGGATAGACTCGGACATTTCTTTCTTTGCTGAATTAAACATTTAAAAAAAGCATTGTACCAACTACAAAAAAACTATTTGCCTATTGTAGCATCCCGAGACTCCCTGAAGACGAAAGAAGACACAATACTCGGGCAGAATATATATATTCAGCACGGAGAAGGTGTCTGGGCTATTGGCATGGCCCAAAAGGCCAGCCCACCCAGCGAGGTACAAGGGGGCTAATTCGAAGTACAAAAGTGGCGCCTCACCAGAACCGAGGGATAAACCACTATCGTATTACACTATTTCTGCTCCCCTTGTCACTAACCTTATTTTTAGCTGTAAGTAACATACCCTTACTACAATTAGCTATTGGCAACATGTATTTGAGGCCGCATGGTAAAAAATGTATTAGGTCTGTTGCCGTATGCAGTCATTTTAAATCAATAAAATTAATCAGTATTGTGCGTGATTCCTCAAATTTATATGAAAATAGGCACGGATAAAACTTTTCAATGATCTTTAGTGCCTAGCTATTTTTTAATTTTTTTATTTTTGATTGTTGATAAGCAAATACTGGAGTTTTTCACCAAAATTTGGAGCCTAAGCGTTTGTTTTAAACGATAGCCTCTGTTGGCAAAAGTGGAGACCCTACTTGGGGCCCAGAGCGAGGGGGCCTCCATTAATGTCGTGCTTCCGCGTACAGGTACCTGCCTGCCCACTTCGTCCCAATTTTGTAGAAGTGGAGGGCGTTTGCACACCGGTGGTTTTTATATGACGCCTACATGCAGTGTCCGATGCTATCGGGAGAATTACTGGCCTCGTACCTTACTGGATCTAGAAAACGAATATATGATCCGCGAGGTGATTGTGGTGATAGCGTCATCGTCTTCAATAGTCGCCACATTGCTGCAAAGGACAACAGCCTGTATTGGAGACGCTTTCTTTACACTCACCACACCAGGTTAGCGGTTCACCACCATTCAGAATTGTTAGATTCGGACCATATCGCGTCGAAGAGACCATGGAAGAAATGCACGCTCGCGACCCAACAGAGGTAACCCAGTGTTTTAAGCGAGTTGCGATGACGGGAAGTTCCTCAAACCATTGATTTGCTCATGATTAGAGAGGTGGATTGGCTGGGTGTCACATCTACCCTCTCTTCTATGCCATGAAACGATTCGTATACCAATTTCTCAAATTTCCCCCTTAGATTCTCAGACGCGAGGTTCGTTCACATTTGAAAAACTGGACTGGTAGGCCCGATTGGCTTTCTCGCCTTCACATTTTCGCCGACGGGATTGAGGTAGATGACAGACACCCATTCCCCAACTATTAGAGTCGGTTCCCATGCTTATTCTCGGTACCATGCACTCGACGATTCCCTCGCCCTTGACTTTAAATACCTCTTAAGTCCTTCCCTTGAGACATCCCAGCTCTTTAATTGAGATACATCATTCGCTAAGGCTTATCAAACCTCTTACGGAATCTCATTTTCGTACCGGACTTTGTTACGCCCTTCAACACGTCTCTTCTTCCTATGTATTCCTTGTCTCGAACGCAGACCCTACCGGAGGAACTGATCAAAAACGTTTCCGGTGTCATACGCCAAGTACTCCCTGTCCCCAGACGCCTCGAGGCTTACTCAACAGAAGAGATTGAAGCCTATCCAAAACTTTTTGACTGGTATGTTTAGCTAGCACTTGTTTTTTTATGGCTGCATTGCAGTCCCGATTTCCCTTGACGCAGTTGTTTGGGTCAGTTTGCTCAGAACTCGCTCTAAAAAATCATCCTGAATGGGGCCTTGATAATCTGATCTCTACCCCGCAGACTAAAGTATAAGGGCACGCATTGTACGAGTCTATTTCTGTGCCCGCTCAAATGCAGCGAAATGCTCTTTATCCATATTAATTAATGGGTAGTACCTAGATTTGCTTTCTTAGCAAGGTCTAATTTTAGACTTCATCTTTTGTAGGCCCGAGAACTATGCAGTCCGACCGCTGAGCACATATACAAAGCCACGGCCGCGAGCCGGAAAAGTGCCAACTGTTACGGAAAGCAAAACCTAAGGAATATCTCCTCCCCTTTTTCCACGCAGAAATGTATCTAGCTTCTATATATCACCCAAATAAAGATCAGTCGTTGTGAGTTGACACTTGCTGCACAACCTTACACTCGGCAGGTGCTACAGTTTCAAAGAACAAAAGGTTACCGTTAACTGCATAGGACTATCGAGAATTCCTGGAAGTCATTACTTTGGATCAACTTGGGAGGCTTTGAGCTGCAACCTTTGAAGGCATTCATAAACCGCTGCGCACTGGACTCATATAACTTCTAAAAAAAAGCAAAATCTTCACCAGGCAGGGATGCCATACATGGGAGCATATTTTTTACATGGCAGAACAAATATGCATAGTTTGAGCTCTACCAGACCCTAGGGTTTACTCCCCATGCATATTCAAACAGTGCTCGATTGCTCTTGAGTTGTCATGATTCTCAATGTTTACTAACTTGGGAGTGGCACATTCGCCATTTAATGCTTTGGAGATTCAAACGAAGCAGTGTCCTGCATAAATGCCGGCCAAAGTATTGTGCAAAGGAAGAATGAAAGAAAAGGACTATTCGGGGCATGAGATAAATCACGTTTAAGATCTCATTCGAAGCTTGCTCAATGAGACAAATTAAGGAAAAAAATGCAGAATCAGTTCAGAGGTGCGATATGTGGCTAAGAGTTCCCGAGTTAGTAAGTTGGGTATGAACCAGGCACTACGTCTAGTCGGCCTCAGGCCTAATAGCATAAGGCTGGCGGGATCACGCTTTGGCGACACGAATGTACTGGAGACAAAAAGTGGTGGAACGTAAATAATCGTTAAAAAGGTAACAAGGAAGGAAGTAAAGAATGACCAGGAAGTTTCTTGTTGTGCTTAGCAAGCCCAGAGGGAGACTACCCAACGTGGGAGGTCAGCACAGTGTTGAGAATTGTACCAAGCTCCATCGACAAAAAGAAAAAAAGCTAAGGGCAAAACTATTGATGGGAAAAGGTTAGTTGTGTGGCACTGCAGTGCTCAGCTAATCTATTATTGTGTTTTGCTGTGGAACGCAACAGATTGAAATTACGAATGACGAATGTCACCATGCTCGGAAAAGAATCTTACCGAAACAATAAGGTTTTACACAAATTTTTAACTGCATATTTAACATTAATTATGCGATAAAGTTTGCTTTATGCATAATGGTTGGGAAATCGTGCACGTCTTTGCAAAAAGACAATGAAGCCAAGTCTATTGATGCCACTAATTAGTGTAATCCCTCCTCATTTGCAATCTGGAAGATTTTGTAACAATCATGATATCCCGAGCTCAATTTATCAACATTTGTAAAATATCAACAGAACTAAAAGGGTTGTAAGTGCAAAAGATTGGGAACCAGATGCTCTGCTCACCTTTTTGATTGACAACTTCTGTTCCTCAGAGAGCATAGAGTTCGTAAGGTGTCTCATCTGTTTGAGGGGAAGACGAACGGAGACAGTCACTTCGTGGCCCTTGGCTAGGAGCTCAGAGGTCTGCCGAACTTTGACATCCATCATGTGGTCGTCGATAGTAGTACGAAGCTTCAGCAGTTTACCTCTTGGTGACGTTAATGATGAACCGGTAGCACAGCCGCTTGTATCAAGAATTGGCCCCACTTGCAAGACTGGGAGAGTCCCGTGGTCTTCAATCTCAGAGGAGCGGGAGGGCATTACATTGATGCCAATCGATTATTTCAATATTTAATTTATAGGTAGTGCTTCAGTACGTATAAAAGGTGGCTAACATAGGCTCCACAACTTTAAAAGAAATTCGACAAATTGATAACCGCGATCGTTTTATGGTGTCAATGGTGATCGAAAATGGTTACATACATTAACAAAGGTATAATTTGGTGTAGCAATGGTGTAATATCTTAGTGAATAACCACGTACCTCGATTTTTGTGCGCATGAAATAAATGAAACTGATGATTAACTAATTAATAAGTTAAATATGATCAAATTTACTAGAGCATGTAACTAAGCACCTTCGGAGCATACTACTTTTATTGTAATGTTTTCCTTGCGAAGAAATTCTCTTAAGAGTGATGATTTAACCTCCACCGGTTCTCCCTCAGTGGAGGAAAAGTATTTTATCAGGCTTTTCGAGAGACCAGGTGACAAGTACACGCGCACAGTTGCATTCTTAGCCAGTACCCCCAGTGCTTCTGATTCGCGTAATAATTGATCCCAACGTTGCTCAGTACCACCTTTGCGTCTTTGAGGCAATGAAAGTAGTGTTGGGCGTCGGCTTCCAATCGCCCAGCTTGTTTCTGCAAGACATCTCAAGGTTCTCATCATTTTGGTTCTATAAATGCAAAGTAATGCACAAAATGTGCATCCAGGATTCAAGTAACTGAACGAAAATTGACTCTAATGCCAGGCATTTCATAGGCGAGGCTAAAAAGTCAGTAATAAATCCGTAAACATTTACCCCTAAGTATAGATCGTCAACTTATGTTAGAGAGACAAAGAGAAAGCCGATTATACCTAATAAAGTTAAGCAGAAGTCTACAGTAAGGGTATAAAATGCATAAGGAACATTAATCGACGATTAAAGGCATACCACCATCCAATTAAATGCTTGTAATTAATTAAACCATTAACAGTTGTGCACGATAGTGAAATTCTTATGGGATGAACTGCGGTCTTAACTTTAAAGCCAAAACGAGTCAATTAAATGCAAATGGGGAGTGGTACTAGTGCACAATCAAAGCGCCATCCTAACTTGGAAAAATGCATAAAGCTGATGCCTCAAAGATCTAGGTCCTCAGGTTATTAAAATAAACCGTTAGAATAAAATTACTACTTTTCGCCATAGAAGAGGAAGTAAACTAACAATCGCATTCGTAGCACTACGCGGTTCACGAATAATAATTTGGGACGGGATGCGACTTAGTCGATCGGTTGTCTACGACATTTTAAAATTAATCATAGGGAAATTAATCAGGCATGCATACTCACCTACTCGGGAGCGAGTACAAGCCCAAACTTTCCTGAGTTCAACCCAACATCCGCCCCGGCAAACTGGGTGACACATATACAAGGTCGAAATATGAAAAAATTGGGAGGTACTAAATCCATAAAAAACAACAGACGACATGTGGTAAAATGATTTCAGCTCAATTACACCTATTTTAGCATCAGATATAGCTATACATCCAGGAGAATATATGAATTACTGTCCAATCATTTAATGCAGAAAAGGTATGCATAGATGTATATCTTATGCCCTCTCAGAACTTGTGGATGTCCTCAACATAAAATGTCGGCTATTGAGTAAATCAAATAAGCAATTGAAGATATATTCGGAAAACAAATATAAATTTTGTGAGCACCGACTGCACAAAAGTCAAAGGAAGACATGATGCCCAGGTAGAATGCATGTATTCGACATACAAGAGGGATTGGGGGAAATAACATAATCCAAGACTAGTCCACCCCGTTAGGCTACAATAACGGGGCAACTAAGTAGTTTCTTTTCCAAAACCGGGAGTAAAACTTTCGACGTATCACAGTCATGGTACACTTCCCGTGCTCTTTAGTTTTACTAACCATGCACATAAGTGTAGCGTCCCAGGACTCCCTGAAGACGAAAGAAGACACAATACTCGGGCAGAATATATATATTCAGCACGGAGAAGGTGTCTGGGCTATTGGCATGGCCCAAAAGGCCAGCCCACCCAGCGAGGTACAAGGGGGCTAATTCGAGGCACAAAAGTGGCGCCTCACCAATACCGAGGGATAAACCACTATCGTATTACATAGCCTCCCTCCTCTTTTGAGCGTCGTCCCCGGCGCTCCCA